TTTGTGCGTGATAATATGGCGATATTTAATTTGATTCCAACTTGCGCTAATTTTGTTTTATTTGGTGCAGATCCGCGAGCAATGACTACTAATTCGTCGAGTGGAGAAGGGGGATATTGTGATGAGGATAGCGAAGTGTTTGAAATCAACGATTTCACTGTGATCACATCGTTGGAAAGCTTCATCGTTGGCTTGGAAGCAGCAATGTATTCTTGGGGTGTGGAGAAGAAATCGTCTAGCAACAACCGCTTTACAATCAACAAAGTATACTGTTGTTTGATTATGCAGTATTTTCTTTGATTTTCTTTTTGAAGTAATCTAGTTTCGGTTTGAAATATATTCTATGATTCAGTAAATTTATTGGCATTGCGGGAAGCCATTTTAAGATACGTACAGTTTCAAACAATTAGTCACAGCGGAAAAAGCACTGAAACGGTAGTGGAAGCATTTATCAGTGTTGTTTTTCTGAATTTTTGAAGGATTCATTTCTTTTCCATCCTACGAAAGTCAATGAGTAGTTTTCGATTGACACAGTAGCTCAATTTTCAGAGTTTGATTGCACAATGTGAATGGGATTCGAAGTCTGTTAAAGTTATATTCGGTGATAATAATGCCCTAAAGCTGTCTTATTATTGGCCAAAAAACTTGGAACGTATTGTTGAAGAACCGCGTAAATCCATATCTGAGGATCCACCATCATCAACTGGTAACACTTCGAATGGCGACTACATGTCGAATGCGGCAAAACTTTTATTAGCCACCGAACTAGATTTTTGTCCTGGTTCGATCATCACTAATCAGGTTTCATTTTTATTTACTGATGACTATCAGCCACCTTATTCCACATTCACTCTTGGATATTGTTTTAACTTCATCCTTTCATTTCACTTCCTTCTTGCTATGCTTTTGATCGTGAGTGATTCTGAGAAAATACCCAAGTTGATTGTAATCTCATATGCTTCGGAAAAGAAACTTTATTGAATTAACTAACTTATTCAGATATTTTCTCTTCATTACTCTCAGTTCATTGAACGTAAATTTTGCAATATTTTCAGTTTGGTGTGTTGGAGTTTTTATTGTTGACACCATTCGATTGGTCGACAGATAAAGTGGTGAATGAAAATCAGTTGAATACAATCTTATCGGCTGTGAACATAGCACTCACCACTACTGAATGGTAAGATTAACAGTAATTACTTAATTAGTTGTTATATATAATAAGTGAAGTGTCATCATTGTATGAACTCATTTCACTCAGAACGCATGATTCAGTTATTTGAATTTCAATTCTGTCATCCAGAATTGAAAGATTTAATGCTGATGAAATTGAAAACGAAACCCTTCCCATACAATTGATCTTCATCAGCAAGACGAATTAGAATTTTTTGTCTTGTTTCCAAATAGTTTGCTTTTTGATTTGAAAAAATGATATTCATCATTTTATGAACATGTGATGATCACCTCATTGGTTCAAAGTCGGAAAAAGGCAGTCGGAAGGTTATTACAGTATTGAGATGAATTTGGTTGAATGTTGTTTCAGCGAATTACCAGTGTTCGTGCAGTATGGAGATTTAGATCGACAGTTATATTTTGGTGTTTGTCAAAATCATTCAGTACGAACGTACTTTGATTCGGTTCATTTGAGACGTTTACAATCGATTCACAGTCATCTTTCGGGCTTGATTGAGCTCTTCGTCGATAAAGTGGTATGTTCTTGCTTTCCTGAACAGTATAATGTATTGTTCATGAAAGTTTACATTTTCAAAATTCTTCTAAATGAGTTCAGGACATTCTCAGCAAAGGCATATATTTACTTGATTCGTATTGAATTCGTTTGAAAATTGTTTTTTAAATCTTGTATTCGCTGAGAATTTTCAAATGTCGACGAATTCATTAGATAGTTGGTTCATCGTTGATGTATTATAGCAGTACAATAGTTTGGGAACGTTGATTGTTAAGTGATCCTGATTGGATGGACTATTTACAAATCATTTATTAATTCATTTTTGAAGTTTCATTAAGGCCTAGAATCGTAGAATCTGTTTTCTTTTCAGAAATGTTCCCTTATGGATACACATACAATTCGTGTATCCATTCAAATCGACTATAAGTTACAGGTGAGCGAATTTCTGTGTATCTCTCCAGCTGAAAGCAAAGTGCATCAGTCGAAAATAATATTGTCACTGTTATATTTCTCTGCATTTTTCGTTTTTAGTTGATTTCATTATCATCATTAAACATTCATGTTGAGCTAGGTTTTTGAATTGTGTTATTGAGTGCTGAATTGGCAGGAAGCATTGGACGTCAATAGTGCACAAGCGTGGTCATCGTATGCGCTGATCGATCGAATGGTCACCCCGAATGAACTTTTCGTAGGCAATATTCCACGTTTGCCGTTTGGTGCCGAATCAGATATACTCGAGTGAGTTGTTGTATTGGCGCAGTTGCAAAACTGGGTGGAATTGGAATGATAAACGATTTTCAGCACTACCGGATACCGTTTTCAGATTAATTGATAGAGTACTTAAACCTTCAAAAGTTGAAACGTAATGCATGGCTTGATAACACGAAAGACTTTATATGTTGATTTGATCTCAATTCGTCGTCATTGTATCGGCAATTTTTTGCAGGGTCTTTAATTTACATGCGATATGGCCAAATTTGAGACAAGAAACGCTGAACGAGAATGACGTTTATTCGGATCTCGACCCATTAACAGCACCATTTTGGTGTGCCTCAGCATCGTTTCAAGACGGCACCGCTTGCTTGATGAGTTAGTTAGTTGGTTTTGTTGATTGTATTGTTCGATTTGTCATCAGAGGGACAAAATAGGTTTGTTGAATGATTGAAACAAAAACTGAACAAATGAGCGCAATACAGTCAAAAGAATGGCAATGTTGGATATAGTTTGCGTTATGAAATGAAGTATTACTTATTGTCAGTATTTTTCTTTTTTTGTTGTGAAACATTTCATTCGATACCAAACAGAGGAGTGTGAAATGAAATGAGCGTTGTCCTCGAGATTTTGTTATTTTCAATTGAATTACTTACATCGCCTACAAATACGCATTGATGAGGGTTGACCTTCAGATTTGGCCCTCAAAACTTTATTCGATACGGCATCAGGGAGGGAAGGCCGCCTCCACTTATCGGGTGTTTTGGGTGTGGGTGCCGACGGCAACTCGTTATCTGCTGAATCAGCGCTGTCCTCGATTACCGAACCACGAAGTCTTTCGATCACGAATCCAGCTGGATTGGTCGATGAAGTTCTTGCGATATCAAAGGTATCATTGATTTCAGTCAATTTAGTCTTTCTTCACCGATTAGTCTCATAGTTTTGCAGATTCGCGTTGCCATGAAATGTTGTTGTTTTTTGTTTTTTATTCAATCACTCCCGTTCAGTTTCGTTTTTGGATGGGTGGATTTTAACAATGGGCAAAAAATGCTTCCAGAGTGAAGTTTTTCTCCGTTACTGATTTTGTTTTGTTAGAATGGTTGAAGGCACCGTCTGTTGTCTTGTTTTCTTCCTTAAACGTTTGAAGTGATAATGAGGTTTTATTTTGTTACGAGGTTGTTGTCTTACAGAGAAATTCAGATTTGTGTTCTACTCATCCTTATGAAGCATTATATTTTACTTATTGTTAGTAAATGTCATTTTACAGAACGATCTGACTCGTTGGATCAACGCAATTTTCACGAACGGCAGTGAATCGTCGCTAGAAGATGAGGAAATGCAATCACCATCGAGTAGAATGACACCGCCCATCGCGAACGATCGTAAAGCAACTGCACCAGGTGAAGCAGTCAAAGAACAGTCGCCGTCTGTTGAAGTACCGAAAATCAGTCGTTTGGAAAATGATGATGAAGTCGATAGAATGAAGTGGATTTACAACAAATGCATGGTTGGTTTGTTTTGTTTGTTATTTGTCAATTTGTTGTTCGATATTTGATTTCATTTTTTCCGTCATTTTTCCAGTAATTTATTCTGAAAGTAATTTATTTGATTGTTAAAGAGCAGAATGTTCGATATTTCCTTTGAGTATGTATGATTTTTTTTCCCAAAAAGTAGAAATGATGGTCTCGTGTGAATTAATTCGGGACTGCGAGGGTTCTCAATTAGATTTTGAGCAATGAGATGCCCACATTTTGCGTAGACACACGAAAAGAATGATGCAGCTGTGATAATTGACTGGAACAGTATGATTTTTATCAGGCTACGTTGAGTCATTCGAAAGCAGCACCTATGGATAGTCTGGCAAGTCGTATCTCGACGGCATTGGTCTACATACTCTGCTATCATGAGGGTGGAACGACTGCTTTTGCACAGCTTTGGAATGAAGTCATTTTGGAACTTCGAAGACGATGGATGTGCGGCGAAACATTGCCTGGGTTAGCTGTTTGATTTGATGAATGGTGAAAAGTAAAGAGCAAAGCTCACTTTTGTTTTCATCATTTCGAAGACTGAGAAATTTTTTGAATGTGTATCGGGAATGTACTTTAGCACACTACAGAAACACACAGAAAATAATTTAGTGTATGTTTCCGTAAAGTTTATGTGAAAGAGCAGTAATGTTTATGTGAGCTTTGTATGTTTTAGTAAAAAAAGTTCGTTTCAGTATGGATTCAGAGACGATCCCCGACTTATCGCAATCATATTTACAACAAAAACTACAAATGCTTCAAAGTTGTATCAACGCACGTGCACGCCATCATAAACTCTTGGACGACAACGTATCCTCATCGGATATTTCGAGTGAGTGTCATTTATTTCATTTGTGATTTTAGCAATCGATCATTTGAACACTCCGCACAGCATTTGTCATTGCTATAAGTAAGGATGAATGAGGTGTAATTGATACGTTTGAAGTGATATGAAATGTCTGAAGTGATACGAATTGTTCTACATTGTGCTCTATTTATTGTTTGTGTTTGAGTGCATATGTTTAGTGGAGGAAATTTCAGTGTTTTCGCCAAGT